CTCAGATACAAGTTCACTTCACATGGCTATGGCGGCACATCGCCTGAACAACTCTCTGTTCATCACTCCCTCGACACTGCTGTTCGCATACAGGATCACCCTGGATACCCCACACACAACACCCCTGTACACTTGTGCACACACTCACACACACCTACAGCTATGGCGGCTATGGCCGCTTCTACCCTATCGCTATGGCTAACTCCTTCTCGCCCTCTTTGTCCTCGGCTCACTGCAGACCACCTCGCACAAGTCGCTCTGGCAGCGCTTCCGCATGGCTTATGCAGGAATGAATGGCTGGACACTGCCCTTTGATTTATACTTCTGTAGCTCGCTGGTCTGGCCCTTTTCCATCGCCCATTGTGCACACAGTCCCGTATGGTACTTGCTGGACTGGACTGGGACTGACTGGACCCTACCACTGACTGCATGGGGTTGGACCGCAATCTCACGGCAGTTGCATTGCCAACGCACTGAGGTTGGCTCCACCACTTGCCCACTTGCCTCTACCTACGTGAGCCTACTCCGAAAGGCCACTTCCGGAAGTCTGTAGACTTGGCCTTTCGGTACTGAAGCAGCTACGACCTTGACCTTTCAGGACTGTAGCAGCCACGACCTTGACCCTTCGGACAGGCTACAGCTACGACTTCTAGAACTCACTAGGACTCCTATCCGACAGGTCTACAGATCGAACCCCTACCCCTACACTGACCTACGACAGACAACAACAACTTTCAAAACACAGGTCACGGGTTCAAACACTCGGGGTCAACACAGATACTGTACACAGGTAAGGTGAAAACTAGGGATCGAGCCCTGGGATCTGCACTCGCTACTGCTGACAGGTGAAAACCGTTTCACTCCCGCCGGCCTAAATTTGAGGTCCTCCGAGAATAACTCAGTCCAAGGCAGGACCTTTTCCTTTCTTATCTGTCTCATAGGCTCTAACTATGTCGGGAGCTGTCTCTAGAAGTTCGGTTCTCGTAAACCAGCGGTCGTCCTCTGGCTCCTGATAAGCAAATCAGACCTTATATTGTTTCTGTGGACGACCTCTACCTCCTGTTTTGAACACATCACCCTCTATGCCGTCAATGTCGTACCTGCCATCCATATCCGGAGGGATCATGGACCTCCTCGATGGGAACTGATCACTCATTGTGCAGGGCAACAACTTGGATGCATGGAAAACTGGGTAGGTGTGGAGGTGCGCTGGGATCTCTACTGTGTAGGACGGCCCATCCTCTCCGCCCTTGACTTCTAGAACTGGCCGCGGTCGTCTATACGCGGGCAGTAACTTTTGCGAGATGTTCTCCTCGGGAGCAAACTCTTTAGACTTGACCCAGACTACGTCGCCTACTTGAAACTGTGACGGGCGACGGTGCTTATTAGCTTGCTCTATCATTCGGTGCTGGGCTTTCCCGAGGTTCTCTATCACGGTAGCTAACTCTTTCTCGTGCTGTAGCGCAAACTCCCTAGTACCGGGCGGTAGCCTCTGTATCTGATCCCGGTTGAGTCCTTCAAATGGTCTACGCAGTCTGAAGGACCTGTCGGACATGCTATAGCTACGACTTCTAGAACTCACTAGGACTCCTATCCGACAGGTCTACAGATCGAACCCCTACCCCTACACCGACCTACGACAGACAACAACAACTGTCAAAACACAGGTCACGGGTTCAAACACTCAGGGTCAACACAGATACTGTACACAGATAAGGTGAAAACTAGGGATCGAGCCCTGGGATCTGCACTCGCTACTGCTGACAGGTGAAAACCGTTTCACATTTCATTTTGCAAGGAATATGAGCGAGAGCGATATACAGAAAACCAAATTGCAAAATCACGCAGAAGTCCAGATAGTCATGTACGCGCAGAGAGCTCAAATGCACCAAGAGTCCATCCAAATAAGCGCAATACAATGCACTCGTGAGCCAACGTTCATGCCCTCAGGCCACACCAACGCAGTATTCAATGTCGCTCGTCTCTATCTGGCGCCCAGCGCCCAGCCTACTCTACTTGCCTCCTTAGCCTATCGTTCATACAACAGGCTCACTTCGACTTCGAAGACCAATGTACATGTCGTCAACACCAATGCCGACTTTCCACAATACTCCAGGTACATATCCTTGTCTCCCCTCTTCACGCCCTGTCACCCACTTCTTAGCCTCCTCCCGAAGACCCCCTGTCGCCCTCCTCTGCCTTGCGCCCTGCAGCCTGGCTATGGCCGCTAGTGCCCCGCTGCCCTGCAGCGCCCATGTCCGCCCCAGCCCAAGCTAGCGCATGCAGACACTCGCTTGCTAGCGCAGCAGCGTGTCCGCAATGCCCACATAGGCCAGAATGCCCAGCTCTGGCCAGCCTCCTCCCTACATGGGAGAGGTTGCGGCTGCTGGACTGTGTGGGCCTGGACCTGGAAGTTTCCAGTGGCTTACGGTCGGGCCCCAGTGTCTGCGCCCAGGCCGACTTTGACAGTTACGGGTCTGGGCCCTTTTTAGTTGGGCACATCCACCACTTTCCAGGCTCAGAATGCTTGCTGCATTTGCACTGGGCCACGGGGTAGATACGACGTCAATGCTGCTGCGCAGCCACACGGGCCTGCAGGGCCCGACCAGACGGAAAATAAGGGCCCTACAGGCCCTGTGTCGTTTTCAGCCTAAAAGCCTGAAAACGAGGGCCTACAGGCCCTGTCTCGTTTCAGCCTGAAAGCCTACAGGCCCTGTGTCGTTTCAGCCTGAAAGCCTGAAAACAAGGGCCTACAGGCCCTGTGTCGTTTCAGCCTGAAAACCTGAAAACAAGGGCCTACAGGCCCGGTGTCGTTTCAGCCTGAAAAAGGGCCCTCCAGGGCCTGAGTCTTTTCAGCCTGAAACGGAGGGCCATTTTCAGGCCCTCATAAGATCGACCTGCCCTGAAACTTAGGCACCAGACCAGGGCTTTAGCACAGGCCATTTTGGGCCTGTTTTCAAGACAACCTTTGTTTGAACTTCAACACCAGGGTCTGGCACGTTTTGGCATTGGCAAGAGCAGCCTTCTGGACGGGCCAGCACTATATAAGACTGGCCCGCCCTGCAGGCTGCAGGTAGCTCATAGGGACTTCCCAGGCAGTTCACGGGCACTTCACTTGCAGGAGGCAGGAGGCAGTCTTTAGGATTCGGCAGCAGCACTGTTACATGCTGCGCCTGCACACGAGGGCCATTTTCCAGGCCCTGCGTCCCTCAGGCTGAAAGTCTGAAAACCAGGGCCTACAGGCCCCGTGTCTGTTCAGCCCGA